AGTGCCTATAGTTGACTTTTTACCGAAAATATCGGTTAATGTGTAAGATGTATAATTGAAATTCATATAATAAAATAAATAAATTAAACTCTTGATAATAGTATGTCTTTGTGTCAAAAATTGGTTGAATCGGATCAATACTTCCTTCAATATAAATTTCTGCTATCAATTGAAGTAATTTAATGGGATTTGATCCTTGCAAGTTGTGAGAGTATAAAATGTTCGGTTACACCCGAACTTAGAAATCCCTTACTTGTTTTAAATTGTATTTGTTGGACTTTGCTTAGCTATCTGCGCAAATGTAACTTTAGAAACGGAAGGATGGAATTTTTCACCTGTGTTCACAACGGGTTTGTTCGTCAGAGCATTCACACACGTCGATGATTTACCGCCGCTGTTTTTTGTATGTCCAAAAGATTGAGTTTTGCACTATGGAATTAACTTATATGCTCTAATAGGCACATCTTTGACAAGGGTACTAGAAATGTTATTGATCTGGTGGTTTTCCTAATGACTTCAATAGCTTCGAATGTTATTACAAACATATCTAGCGGTTCTTAAATCCTTCCTTTAATTTTATTAATTGCATTTAAGACATTAAAGGTTTGAACTTTTAAATCGTTTAAGATTGATTGTGTATCACATGAGTGATGTAAATTTCTTATCATTACCTTAATTGGCTTATTATGTTTACTTTCGTAGCCAAACCAAGGTATATTTTCATTGGACAAGAATTTTATATACGGTATAATTTTACGGATTTGGATTATGGGTTTTAGTATTTAGTTGGCCGCCTGCTCTTTATTTTTATTTTTCAAAGGGCTATTAATTGTTGGAGAAGTATCAGCTTTGCATTTTTTTAAGCGCGCTTATTTTTGAGAATCCACTCAGTTTCTTTAGCTAGTTCATTTTCATTAGTTTCATATATTTGATCAACATTCATACTAGAAGGGTTTTCTTCAATACTCACATGCTTGCTTTTAGTAGTTTTTAGTTCTTCGTTTTCTTTTTTTAGCGCTATGTTATCTTTGTGAGGCTGATTACAGATTATACATCGCTTAGTTTTCTTATTTTATTTACTCTATACTATATGGGCTGTGATTGTTTCTTGGCGCTTTATGAAGAAATTCAGCAATTTTTTTAAAGTAATTTGCTAACTGGGTATTAGCAACCTGTCGCTTGGTTGCATTATCGACGATTTGAAGTAGAAGAGTGAAGGAAAAAATCACCATTATTAAATAAACAAAATAATTATCAAAATTTAGTAATTGGCGCGTGGGCCAGAGGATGCCCAGCCGTAATCAACAACTAAAGCAATTGATCAGTAGCAGAGGAAACCCGGACGATATCAACAACTTATATAGATTTAATAATGCAAGTAGAGTGCTTGTTTAATGAATTTTTTGTTATCAATAAAATATATCACAAATCATCATTTCCTAATATTTAAAAAGAACGAACGAGGTGTTAGAATTTTTATTTATTCAAAAAGTAATAATCCTATGAGTGGCAGTGAATTAGAAGAGCTAGTGTCCGGATTCGCAGGTTTCGAAAAAATACCATAAAAACGAATAATTTAAAGACAGGTGATTACTAAAAATGGTGGTCTGATCAAACACTAACAAATAAAATGTCGTTCATAGAATCAGAAATCAAAGCGCTTAACGAGTATACAGTTAACACTGCATTTACAAACCAGGCTCAGAGTTATGAACAAAAACTGAAAGATATAAAGAATAAATTTGCAAAAACATCGGTAACGGTACCCGAGCTAGAATTATTCAGAGATGTTGAAATAATACCAGATGTGTAATGCGATGAAACATTAGGCATAGTAAGACAGTACCTGACTTTGAAGGAAAACTTGAGACATACGTCTCATGTCGTAAGACTATAAGCTCATACGGCTTATAAGATTTTCGAAAATCATGTAGGAAGTTCCAAACACTACCAGGCATTAGGCATAATCACAAATAAAATAAAGGGGTCCTCTGACATGGTGCTGTACTTATACGACACACCATTGAATTTTAAAGCAATTGCACTGGTCTACAGTGGTTTGGTTGCCCTAGATATAAGATCGATTTGGGATATATTTAAGCCCCCAGTTCATGAAACTATTAATGGTTTTGTAAGAATTGTTCACGTTTATTTTAAAATCTTGTTTTATTCATTTTACATTACAAAAATTAGAAAACATGAAACACAAGAACAGAAATATTTATATCAGTTTAATTTTGAAAAATAAGGATACATCGAAGTAAACAGAAAGACAAGTCACATAGGTTATATTTATTTAAAACTCTTTTTAAAAGAAAAGTTCTTCCTCTTACAGTTTTTCAGGTGACAATCTCTTTTGATAGCCATCGTATGACGATTTCAGCAACCTTGATACCATTCTTCTATCACTTTTAGATCCTGATTCAATCTCTCTCTCTGTTCCCCACTATAAGTTCCAAAATTATCCAAAAATGTACCCAGATGATTACGGAGATAGTCGAACTTAATATTCAAATTTGCATTCTGAATGTTTTCCAGCATTTTAACTTTGATAATATCTATATCTTTCAGTAATTGTTGTATCAAATATTCCACCTCTCAGCTTTTTCATGCTAAGTTTGGACATTTTCTACAAATGTCATTAAAACAATATTCTTCTCCACCGCTTTGCCAAATTGTTTTATCATTCCTAATTTGATTACGTACTAAATCATTGAGCTCATTTTGAGAAAATAACTTGGGTGTAGATGGTTTACCCTCCTTTTTACATCCATTGGTGAACTATACCGATATCTGGGTATTTGACGATATCACTGTTTCTGAGTAGTTCATGCGAATTACTTTTGAATCGTTCTATTATTAACAAGTCGATATTTATCAAAATATAAGATATGCAATTATTTTTAAAACGAGAGAACATTCAATATTTTCATGAATAAGGTCGAAATCGTGATACTTGAAAGCATCAAAACTTAATAAACAGACAGAAAATAGGAGCCCATTCTCTAAACGGGAGCCACTTCAACCAATGGACACTGACAGTTCATCCCGATTCAGACAGCCTCTTTAGCAAACAAATAGAAATTTCTCTCCTTATGTACCACTTTCGAATCAGGCCATTAAAAGGCCAAATAATGGCATTACAAGGTATACTGTATCAAAGTAGTATAGTATAAATCATCTTTCACAAAATAATAACTCCTACATAAGTAGAATTAGAATACCAAATTACACTTGAATCAGAGGCAGATGACATTTGAGATGAAACTAATCAATATGATAAAGTCTACTTTCTTAGGAATAGCTCCCTGCTGCCGTTTGTAGAACGAACAAAAGTAGACAAAACCATAAATTTACTTATTGACACAGGTGCTTAAAAAATTTACATTAAACTGTCAACGTACACATGTGCAGCCATCGCTCGCCATTAACAAATAAAGCAAACATTTAAATAATAACCAAATTTAATGAAAATTGAAAATTAATAATAACAATGTTGCCCATTTCTTTAGGTCTAATAATATTATCTGCGGTAATCGCATCTTGAAGATAAGCATTCAAGGAAAGAGATTGAAGTCGTACTCTCAAAGCATCATGTGATACGAAAAGTCCATACAGGAAACATTTTTACTCGCATCTGAGGCCATGGGTTACCAGTAACCGAAATGGCACCGTCATTGACCAAACGCGTATTATAACGCCTATCATGTTCGCCACGTGTAGAAGTTTTTAAAGACTCTTCTGGTTCATCAAGTAATGGAAGAGAGTCTTTACCACATGAATAGGCGATAACACTACTCAAGAACTCTGAAGAAAAAATTTGCTGATGTGCTAAGAGGTCTGTGGGCGTATCTAAGGTGTCTTGATTATGAATTTGAGTTCAAAAATGTTCAATCACGTACAGATTTTGTGTAACAGAATACATGTTACTTGTTATTTTTTTTCTGAAATTTTCGTATAATTTATACTGTAAGTTGAAATAAAAAAAAGTTATTTATATTATATTATAGTTCGATGGAATTTTTCATACTTTTGTACTTTAACTTTTAAGTCATCACTTAAAAGCATCATAGTTTACTGAATTTTGAATCTGTGACATACTTTCGTAAGTTTCTTTCATGTCAACTGCATGCGCAAGAGGAATAGAGGGCTTTTTGTTGCCATTATGAAGCAAACCCGTCTTCAAACTTATTTTTGAGAAGTTTATGAATAAACTCATTATGCGCAAATCCCGATCTTTCAATAACATCATTTGAACTGAAACAAACACAAATTTTATCTTGCATGATTAACTGTGATTGATTGAACTTGCATGATTAACATGATTACTGGTTCTAAAATAGTTACTTTCGGTCCTGATGTCTGATATTATTTTCGGGTTTTGGCGTTTTAAGCACCAGCACACAATTTTATTATGAACACAAGTTGCTTTGGTACATGTTGTAATTTAATAAAACTTAATTTTATTTTTTCAAAATAAAACAAACAAAAAATCATAACTCAAAAATCCTACAAGTCAGGAAATTTTTACTATTATTTTCGGTTTTAACCCAAAATTAGCTATAAACAGTCCCAAACTTCACAGTCACATAATGACTGTAAACATGTGTAATTAAAGGTGGACTATGATATTTAATTGAATGGTCATATTGAAATGAAGTATCGTTAAATACATATCAATTATTCTGCATGAAATTTTGACAGTATGTTTCTATCGCTCTTCTTTTGCCTATTGCTTAGCTTGCCTTTCTATACAAACTCGTATCTGAATAGGCATTTCTGTTGCTATCAAAACATTTTGTCATCCTGCTTACTATTGTCTTCTCAACTCTCTGTGAGCTGAAGATTCATAACTTCATGCAACTTTTGCTACATTCAATTTTTTTCATATTTATACTCTATTATAAAACACGTGATCTACCTATTTTCTAAAAACAAAAATTTTAAGGAGTTGGAAAAGTAAAGCTTTTTAAAATATCTTTTATAAAAGTTATTATTACCTCCATATCTAAGGTAAATCGATGATATATGCCGGCTGGTATGATTATTAAGTCTCCTTTGCTAACAGCGATGCGAATCCAATCATCTTTTGCACTAAAAAATAAAATTTAAATGGACGTATGTATTTGTTTCTAAACAATTGTCTTATCAATAATAATTATAACACGCCCTTCTCTGACGGCCTTTTATTCTACACAAGAACTGTGAACATATATATGTACACACATTTGAAAATGTCAAGCGTTCGAGCAATTCTAATTTTAATATTTTGACAACTGACAAAATTGGACTCTACGAAATTTATGAAGGAAGAAAAAAAGTGAGCGAAATCACTGTTTATTTTAGTTTATGATTTATAAATATCATTTATTGGGTTTTAAGTATATATGCTAATGTCTTATATATATATTATATATTATATGTTAGCCGCGCAAAATATTTGCATTGATTCGGCATTAGAAAACCGGACTGCAATATTGGTGTGATTATGCTATCGTTTACTGTTTTTAAGAAAACAGCAAGTAAAAACTAAGAAGGAAGGCCAAGTTCGGGTGATAACAAATATTTTAAATTCTTTAAATTTTAAAAGATCAAAGTTGGGAAAGGCTTTCACATATTGACCAATTTTGTATCAAACATTTTGCGAAATAATTCAATATTCGCATTAGACGCGGCCATATGCTTCTAACAGGAGTTACATGCTTATTAGCGGGTGTTTAAGATTTATTTTCAATTTCTTATTTTACAAGTATATCACATGATGCACCCTGTGTACAGTGTTTCTCTATTTCCTATCATTCCGTGCTTCAGTTATTTGCTTTAACTATTGTAATATTCCTGAAGGAGCTTCTTCTTCTTTGGATCGCCGCAATAAACAGACGGGCTTTTAAGTTTAGTCGGTTCGACGGTTTCAATTGCTCAATTCCATAAGTAAATTATATTGACGCTACCTTAAAGGATTAACGCGATATGTGCAGTATCATTGTAAAGCATAACCACATTTTCAATGTACATAAATTGGAAATGGCAGATCAAATCTTTGACAGTTTCATGCACGTTGGAACAGGTGCGCAAGGCGCATGCAGCTGAATTAGATGCATCCAAGGCTGAGCAACTGTTGAATTCAGCGAGGTCCTATTACGACCGCATGCTCGTAAGCCACGAGGCTCTCCTCAGTTTTGAGAAAAACGAGAAGTTTGAACTACATTCAGCATGGTGGGACGTCACTGAAGAGATGTATAACGATCTATGTTCCAGTTGTTGTTGTTGTAACGGTTAACTAGTCCCCGCTTGGATAATAAGGTATAGTTTGGTTGTCGTCGAGGTCATCTAAGGGGAGGCCTAAGAAACGAGCTGTTTCGATGGGGTCGGATCATAGGGAAATGGGTGATAGATGAGTTGAGTTCGTTGGGCATGCAAAGAGGTGGTTAGTATCATGCGGAGACTTATTGCACGCAGGACATATGTTTGGAATGTCGGGGTCTATTTTGGACCTGCTACGATTTCTAAAACGAAGTTGCGCGGGGGTCACTCTGGGTTCGAGAGTCAACTCGAGCTCTACGTCTGTTATGGGTGGTGATTTGACTCCTAGTACGCCTGTGAATGGCGGTCAGTGCTTGTCTAAAGTTCGTTGCGTCCAAAGTCCGGTCGGCGTAGTCAAGAAAGGACCTCTTGATGTTCCTAGGAGGAGGTTCCGCTTCAAGCAGACGACTGTAGGGGTGATTTCTGCGAAAACATCCCAGCAGAAACTGCTTATGTTCCCTAACCGGAAGCATAGGTAGGATGGCTTGGGATGAATGCAACTAATCGCACTACGCTCTTCGGTTTTTGTGATGCCGGTCAGAAGGCATACGCTGCGGTTGTTTACGCACACACTATCAACAGTGATGACAATGTTAAGCCAGAGAACTTAAAACAATGAGAAGGTGCAGGTTCGACAGCGAACAATTTGTAGGAATTTATCAAGGAGTTCACCACAGATGCACGAGAAACAAATAACATTTTTCGCTTTTATAACAGCGGTGAATCTGTACACATACGCTCTCTTAACATAACCAACCGACGAATATTGAAGAGAATATAATATGTGAGCAAAACTGGGAATATTGATATGCCATTTGAAATATATTCCTTTTTATTGAACTATTATTTATTATTTTTTAAATTATTTTATGTTAATTCATTTTTACTTTATTGTGAGTTATTAATAATAATTTAAAAATATTTTGATATAATATATTTCTTAAAATCATTCATTTACTTGACACCATTATGGAGTCACAAAAGTACAGAATTGTGTTTTGCCGTCGGCATTTCACATTCATGCTTCAATTTTTCTTTTCAAATGCATGTGTAAAAGTAATTATGTACGTAAATATGTACTTTCCTATATTATGACATACATATCTTATGTCGTTTGCACATTTGTATGTATTTGTATGTATATATGTACACTCATTCTTCATGTGAAATCTCCGTTGACACATTTTGCTTTTATGTCAAAGAGTCTATCTGTCGAAGGATGACGCGACGACAAAGCGTCACAACATTGTGTTGTGTAGAAAATCCGAGAAGTGCCGAAACTAACCGAACGCTCGCCGATTGTCATCGCTTCCTTGCCGCTCTAACAGCTTTGCCGACAAACTATCGTAAATATGTTGTATTTATATGAGCATGCATACATATTGACGAAGATTTTGCGACACGGAAAAATATTTTAGAATTGTGAAATATTTTAAATCGACAAAAGCTTTGTTGCCACTTTTGTCATTGATTTCTGTGTTTGCAGGGTTGTCACTTTTCTTCTAGAGATCTCTCTCTGTGTGTTGTG